AGAATCTCATCTAACTGCCCCAACGCTGCTTTTCTGATAGACATTTTCAGTGTAGACCACTGTGCGTCGACGGTGAAGTCATCAGGGAAAGTTTCGGCTATGTTGGAAGCGGTTGCGTTCAGCAGCGCCTGCCTTCTCTCAGGTCGTTCCAAGAGTGCGACGTTGCATTTGCCCGGGAAATGAGTCTTCCGGCGAGTAGTCAGGTGCATCTTGAAGCGGGCGCGTACAAGGGTATGGTCTGTACCGTTCCTGTTTCCAGTTTCTGCGCAGTGATAAGAACGGCAGTCTTCTACCGAAGAGGCCCAGCAAGCACGTAGCAAAATATAATCAATCTGGTGTACCAATCGACCATCGTTTGAGTACCACGTGAGCAGGTGTTTTCTGGGCTGCTGGAAACGAGTGTTGGCCACCACCAGCCGGTCAAGGTCAGTAAATGTGACTAGGCGTTTGCCATTTTCGCAACATTGACCAAGGCCGGACTTTTCCAGAACATGCCGAGTATGTTTGTCCGATGGACCAGTGCAGGCGTTCCAGTCCCCTGCGATAACGAGGATGTCGCACCTCAGACTGCGATTTACTGCGTCTTGAACTTGGTTGTAGAAGTCATCTTTGATGGGCTCATCCACATGTAACGTCGGAGCTAATACAGCTATGCCTATCAGATTAAACGGCTTTCCTCTGAAGCGTGCCATGGCAATCCTGGGAGAGATTGGTTCCCAGGAGCTCATGGCATTGTTGGCCCGGGAACTTATGGCGATTGCTATCCCGTACAGACCGGAGTTGTCAGTTGGGTCGCTGTGGTATAACCGGTAGGTTGCGTTGCTATGTGGTGCGTTGATTAGTTTTGTGCCACAGTTAGGTAGTCGGACTTCGGACAGACAACAGACGTCTACGTTGTATTCGTGCAATCAACGCATCGTGACACACTGGCTTCCTGTATCTAGCAATGTTTTAACACTCCAGCAGGCAACATGGATGCTGGATCTGGTGCATAAATTATTCAGGCTCCCAGCTTGCTCATTTGTCACCCCATCCATTGGGAGGGCGCAGGGCGTGTCGCTTCCCGGGAACGCCGTAGCATGAACGTGATGTAGTACCATTGTAAGACAACCAACAGGAAATTTAGACCAAACTCTCAGCACATAAATTAAATAGCCGATCATTATGATAACCTGATTACCAAATCCTATTGTGAATCGCCTGTAAAGATGTCCAAAGGTCGAGCTGATTTACACGCGTGTCATGTTCTCGTCTTCTCCTGCTCGCCCCCTCCCCCCCCCTCACACACACACTCCTTCGCCGTCTAAACCCAATCCTGGGCAGATGAGCGAGAAGGAAGAGAAAATCAGTTTGCTCGAACGTGAAAAACAACAATGGCGTATTGAATTGGAAGTACTCCAGGTCAAATTGCAGAATGCCACAAGTCTCTTGGAGGATGTAAGTTCACAATTTTGTCTCCCACTGTCCGCCTTCTAACGCTCCATTTATATATTCACACAAATTATGGACCATTATGGGCCAACGGTTTTCTTGGCACTGGGAAAATTTCGGTTGCAATATTAAGGGAGATTGAGGATAGCCTATATACCAGCCGGTCTTATCATTTCCAAAAGTCGATTTTTTTATATCCACAAGAAGCATTACATTTTTTGGTTGTGAGCTATTAAACAAGGAGCTTTTGTCAAATGCTACTCACTGTCGTACATGTTCAGAATGATATATTTGAAAAAGACTGCCAAAAGGTTATACGAGACTTCAGTTCCACTTTTATCACCAAACCCTCGGATGTTAATCATCAATTATGCACTTCGTGATAATCGAATAGACACTGAAAGTTAAGTGTAGTAAGTTTGGAATTACTGATATAGATCAAAATCTGTTATCTTTTTCTCTCGGATATACCTCTCATACAATCTTCATCGTTCTTCACCTAAACACCTTTTACCAGACTGAGAATCGATTGAAAATGGCCACCCGGGAACGATCTGCTCAATTGCATCGTGTGGCGCAGTTGGAGAACGAACGTGACGAGGCTATTCGGGAAGCAGCCACAGTGGCTGGACGGGCTAGTGCGGAACGGGAAGCAGCCACTTCGAAATTGNAAATTGCGTGAACTGGAAGAAATACGTGTGCAACGAGACGCACTAAATCGGGAACTGACAGAACTGAAACAAGTTCTGGCCGGAAGCACAGCAGAGAATGCGGCCGAGAAACGTCAACTTCAGGCTCGTCTACGTGAACTGGAAGTGCACAATGAGGCGCGTATTACTGACTTTAAGTCAGAACTTGAACGAACCCGTGAAGAACTTGAACGTTTGCAAGTACGTCTACGATTTTATTCGTCTTTGATTCCGCTCGGTTAGATTACTGTCACTCTACATTTGCATCAGGGGGACTTAAGAAGGAAAAAAGTGTTACCGTATGCAGAGAACCGTCCATCATTTACGAAATCATTTAATAAATAAGGATAATTTAAAACTACGAGAAATCATTCCATTTAACCTCAGTAATAACAGCAATAATAATAGCTTCCCCCCCCCGGTTTTTCCGAGTACAACACTGCATCACCTTTCTGAAAGCAGAATGAAAAGGGGAGGTTCGACGAACTAAGCGATACCTAGGGACAAAAGAAACGGGGAAGTTAGGTCCCGATGGTAGTATTCCCACTCAAGATCTCTAAGTTGATGTGATGGTGTCTCTCGTCAATCAAGCACCTCTCCCAGAAGTTCGTAGGCGATATGAAACGAATAACTAAGATCATCATTAAAATAAAATGTGTGAGTGACGTTGGTGCTTGTTTCTATATATAGGTTTACTGTTCAAACTTTCAACTTTTGTTCTCAAGTTTAGTCATATCGCCAGTGAAACGGAACCAAATTAACCGATAACACTGCACAAATAAAATCTTGCGAACGTGATTTTTACAGCCTACGTCGATCGTTTTGACAACAGTTTTTGAGAGGGCTGAAGCGAGGGCATCAAGGATTTGAGTTTCGACATCGTCGATTTCTCTTAATCCAACCATTGGTGTACCAAAACAGTTCACTTTTGTCAACAGCTGATTCTGAGACACCCTGCTAGTAAACGTTTCACCCGCATCCGATAAGTCTGCTTGTGGCTTACCGGACTCGGCAAACCAAAGAAAGTGAATCTGAACAATTTGGACTGTGAATACCGTCTTTCCTTTCTTTTTGACAGTGTCGAATGAACGTGCAACTGTTGGCTTCATTTACTTGATGAATGCTGTCATTAAATAACAGATCACTGACACAAGATTTCAGTGGTTAACGGAACACGTCATGCTATGTTGACAGATTCTTGCGAGTATGATGTACTGAACCAGTTTGAGCGATGAACTGTTAATACTATCTCCTGTGTCCTTTTGGTTTGCTAAGTAATAAAGCGAATCCTAACGTAACAAATGAATTTAGAGTATTGGATTAGTCCATTCAATTATTCAGAGGCACAAGGTACTCTTGATGGTCTTGATGGCTCGCCAGTTTGAGTCTTGACACGGACACAAAAAATGACGCACTGCTGACGAGTCCCCCAAACAGGACGAAACAGCTGTCCAGTGCTCTTTGTCGGTTATCACAAATATTTCCATCGCATTTGAGTTACAAATGAATGTTTGCACAGAGCAAACCACTCCTACTCATGTCAGATGGAAACAAATTTGCGGACTGAATGAAAAAGAGCCACACTAATTAAATATGTTATTGGTGAGTTCATTCGAATCTACAGCACCGGAAGTTATGCATTGTTGTTCATATTGTAACGAGAAG